AATCTTAGCCCTACAACTTGTTCTAGCGGGACCGTGGCCAATAGAAACGCTACAGAAGAAATAAACGAATTCGTAATTGTCACATGGATTTAATTTCGCATTATTTTCACCAAATAATCCAAAAGAATCCACACAACGATAGAACACGTTAAAATATTATAATATTATATATGTATATTGTAGTACAATGGCTCATTATTTTTATTTTATACTACTTGTTTGTTGTTAAACACAAAACTACACAATGGGATATCTATGTGCTACCCGCGTATTAAACTGGTAGTAATTTTATGCGTATTATCGTAATGTTGGAAGCTAAATTTTCAGTGTTTTAATTTATATGTTTGCAAATGTAGCATGTAACGAACTTATTATTATATATTTATTTTAATATCGACGTTTGTTTACATTAAATTTATATTTAGAAACATACATAGTTTATACTGTTAAATATGTATTGCGAAACTCCCGCCTATTTTCCAAAGTTGTAGAAAATTCTCGAGAGTAAGAATCAACAATATATGTGTATACGTAAACGCTTGTGTTAGTGCCAGTATTGTTATATAAGACTGAAATTTCTAGAAAGTCTCCACAGCGCTATAAATATAACCAACGCGATGCGCCAAGAGGAGTATCTATTATCGGTTTGCAATAATTGGTGCGCTAAAAACAATTCGTAAGCTATAACTGTGATTAACGCTTATTAATCGGGAATTTCAGATATATTGACCAGGAACGTTTATAAATTTCGAACATTACAAATCATTCAACTTCAGAGGATTCACATTGGACATTAGTACTTTTGCGAAAACATTACTTAGCGATACACATATTGATGATTAATATGCTTATTGCCTATGTATCCCAATGAAGTTCACGTTGTACACATTCACTATCAGAATACTAGTTGTCTTTGTCCGATCCCAAAAAGTCGTGTAAATGAAACTACCACTAGGTGGCATGCGCAAAGAGTGCTGAAAGAAAATTGATTCAAACTATAAAGACAATCATGTGAAAAAACCACAAAGGCGAGAAAGTCAAATTCAGTGTAGTGGTCGATGCAAATCAATTACAATTCAATGGCTTCTTCATTGGGAGCACAAAGAATTGAAATCTGGAACCTACCAAAGTACGGCCAGACAGAAGCAGTGGTTCAGTCAGAAGAAGTGGTCCATCCAAAAATGGGATTAGAGGAGATCGTCAATGCTGAGCACAGTCTGAATGATTCAGACCTTGCTATGGAAAATCCTACCCTAGAAGCACAGTTTCTTGTGTCTGAGACTGACATCGACTTTGCTGTCATATCAGTTTCAACATAGATCAGACTGTTTTCGATATTTTGCATGTGGTGGATGACATTGTAAATGATTCATTCATTGTAATGCCTGCATTGATTCGAGCTCTGATGATGACGAAAGTTATGAACCTCTCTCAGCTTTGGTACAGGAGTTAATGGAAGACTCAGCCCCAACCAGTCATTAACCACCACTTCGAATACACCAAATCAACCGATTCTAAAGGAGTATGATCCAAACAAGTTCAGGAGAGAAACCTCTTACAGGAATTTCAATCTCTATTGGTATAAAACACATTCCTGGATTTGCTTTGAGATAGGGAAATGTCAGTGTTCATGTGTGCTTTCCCTGCAGGAAGTTCATGAAGGATAGTTCATTCATGTTCGAAAATTGTAAAAGACTCACAGACTCAAAGACATTCGAAAAGTGTTAATCACAAGAATGCAATGGCAAAGTGTATCAGTTCGAAGATCAAAGCAAAACGTCAGACTTCTGTGCAGCATCAGTTGGATGCAGCTCAAAGACAGCAGGTTCTCTACAACTGAGAGTATTTATGTATAATCACCGAGTGCCTGATCTTTACTGTGCAACAAAACACTGTAATATGAGGACATGGGGAGGACAGAACAAACACTGATGACATATCCAACATTAATAGAGGCAATTTCCTGGAATTATTGCACTTCAGGTGCAAGAATCTCCTGTGGCTCAAGGACAAATTACAAAGTCATCTTGGAGCACACACTCAATGGACATCACCATCCACTCAGAACAAGATACTAGAACTTGTATATAATCTCATTGTGGAGTGGATCATCTACGATGTGCTGATGAGTGGAAAGTTTGGAATAATCATGAATGAAACCTTAGATATCAGCCAAATAGAGTAACTGGCACTCTGCATGAGATACGTTTTGTGGGTAAAACGAAAAAGGCGTTCATTGGATTCTTCTCTGCAGCATCAACTGAGGTTGAACTCTTATGTGAACTACTGAAAAGGGTTATCAGTGGACTTGGCCTGAGTTGGAGGACATTGTCGGCGGGTGTTTTGATGGTATGTCTTATACGAGTGCTGTTCATAAAGGAGTAGCTACTCGAATGAAAGAGTGCTCACCACAAGGAATATATGCATTGTTACTGTCATTTCCTCAATTTCACGCTGCAGGATACTATGAGTGAAAAAGAACCCCCTAGAAATGCATTCTGGACAATCCAAAGCCTTTATAATTTCTTGCAAGGGAGTCCAAAATGCCATGCTCTGTTCAAAGATATTGAGGTAAATGATGATCACATCATTCTCACACTAAAATTCATAAGATTGTCATGCTGATGGGAAGCAGTAAAAGCCGTCATTGAGATGATGTCAAAAAATATCAAAGTTCTCCCATTTTAGGAGGTGATAAAGATGCTAAGATGTATGATGACAGCACTGCACTTCTGAATGCTGTTTGTGATTTTGAATTCGTGTTTGGATTGCTACTTCTGAAGGTGATCTTGTTAAATACCAGCAGTCTTAGTAAATATATGCAAGGGAAGGGCATGGATGTTATCACCACCAGGAGAAATGCGGACCTCACCATCATAACCCTCAGTGACTGTGAGGACTAGGATAACTTTGAGCAATTGTGGACTGAAGAGACTCGATTCATATTCAAGGATGCGAGAGTACTAAGAAGTAACAGCCTCGACAAAGTACTTTGTGAAATGAAATAGTGCCTCCCTCCTTCCCAATGGATTGGGGCCAGTACACCTATGCAAAATGATTTCGAGTATTTGGTAAACAGGGTAATTAAATGGCAGAAGGCTTTAAATTATAATAAATGCAAGGTAATGTATGTAGTATATCATAAGTTGCTTTATGGGTATACAGTTATGGAGTAACCTTAGTATTCTAGTTCATCAGTCTCTTAAGATATCAAGGCAATGTGCTGTTGTTAGTGGCAGAGCAATTAGGATTTTAAGTTGTATCTATAGAAATATTATACAAGACTAAAGAGATTATAGATTCATTGTATAGGTCATTGGTTAATTAGGCCACATTAAGAGTTTTGTGTTGGGCTCCTTATTGTAGGAAAGACACTTCAAACGTTTAACAGAAATTTCCTTGATTGATAACAAGCCTAACTGGCTTACTGATTAGCTGATAGAAGCGCTAACGTTTAGTGAATTGACCAACAACTCAATCAGTCTCTCCTCAAATATTCACTACTCGATTCCGACTTGTATTTATAGTAAACTCTCAATTTGTACCAATTATGGGAAGTTTATAGATTTTAGGGTTCCTTTTATTAATTCTCTATACCTGGCATCATCATCATGATAGCAGCTAACAAACAACTAAATTATAACATTGAAGATATCGCTTACAACAATATGGAGAAACTGGATGAGAAACAGATCTAGAAAGAGACGTGGGAAAGAGTATACAAGTACAAGAACAAGTTACAGAGGCAGGATGATAGAAGGTGGACAAAGCAATGCTGGTTAGAAATAAAAGAAGGATAAGAGATGGTTAAAGAATGAAAGGGAAGAGAATATAGGATTTTTTTATATACACTTCGTTATATTTTGAATGTTATATCTGTCTTCTAGTTTCTATATTCCAAAGTTCTTTAAGAGAGTAATCGAGTTTCGAAAAGAATGAGTAGAAACAACCGATTTAAAACAGTTATCATTAAAAAGGAAGGATTAAATGTTCATTGCAAAGTTTAGATGTGGAAATGAAATATAAGAAGAAGATAAACTCTGTGATTTGTATATAAAAAAAGAGAAAACTATGTAAAATTTAGAAGTAGAATGTAAAGGATGGATAAAAGTTAAATGTAAACGAGGAATATGGGAAAAGTGAATAAGATGCGGAATGAAGATGGAGAATGTTTAGAATACTCAAGAAATTTGCAGAAAGCTTTGAAGGATAAGAAAAAAACTGAACAAATGTTTATTGTTTATGAGCAAAAAACTGTTGCATTGTAAGAATATTATTATTTTTGAATTTGTGAGTATTGAAACTAAAATGAATATATTGTTAATGTTTTGTAGTTTATATTTGATAATGAAATAGATTTAAAGCAATAAGTGTATGAAATATCAATTACATTATATCTTAGACCCGAAAGGATAAGATAAATAAACTTATCATTATAAATCTGTTTATTCCCTTTAAGTACAAAGCTAAACAATGGGCATCGAAAACCAGTTTTTAACGTTATAAACCTACAGACTTACCACTGTGCAACTGGAGGGCGCTATTATAAAAGTACACTATTTTGGTATTTACAAGTTTTTAACAAATGTTTATGATGTATTTATATAGTAAATCAGCAAAACTTCATAACTGTTGTACGTACGAATAATGTTTTTTTGTATTTTAATATACGTGGTAGTTAAAAATGTATATATTATAAATTGTAGATCAGCAAAATACTTGCTAACCCCACCTATTTTATTCAATTCAATTTTAACCGCCAAATTTAAATACTTCTTGTATTAAGCATTTTTTTTTTAAAACTAAGAAGCTCCGTTTTTTAGGCTTAGTATTAGGGCTAATCCCAAAGGGATAAGTAATTCGTCAGATCGTAGTCTGTTTTAAATCAATACTAGTAATTATAGTAAAATAAAATATTAGACACTTGAAAATAATTTGAAGTTGAATCCATATTTTTTAAGTATTTGACTGATAATAATAATAGTATGATACGCAATCAGTTTCAAGAATCTGAAGAGGTTTCCATTGTTTCTATTAGTGGCCCAGAATTAAAACAGGCACTGAATCTTTTGATCATAAATGCTGAAAATAGTAATTTAAGCCCGAAGGAACAAAGTGTTGCATTTCAGAACAAAAAACTTAGAAACCAAATTTTTAAACAGGAAGTTCAACTTGAAATATACTTGCCACTGCTGTCCGGTACTGTTGATGAGCCAGTTTTAGACATATCAAAGGGAGTAGCTCTTGCAAGAAGTACTGTTATGTTATTACATTGTTGCATAGATCAAAGCAGAAAGCTTGCAGAAAAAGATGACCCATACCCTGTACTTTTGTGTGATGAAGAGTTAAAAGAAATAGAGAGTGCTATCACATTTATTAAAACATTAATTAAAAAAGAGTTTAGTATTTCAGAATTTGTCCAGGTTTTATCTGTAGAACCAGTTGTGCCTCTGGAGTTGCTGTTGAAGTTGGATGATGCAGGAATCATTCCTGTTGAAGTATTTTTGCAACAGGTAATCAATAAAAGCCAGCTTGTATCTGCCTTCAGTAAAGCAGTTTGGAAAATGTGTTACCAAGATAATGCTCCACCTGCTAGACTGCATAACGTGTGCTCAGTCATTGTTAGTTCTCTTGTTATGTGTGCATATTTTGAGAATTTTAGTCAGAACAGAAGTCTCGTAAAAGTGACCCGATTAATTTTAGATACATTGACAAAAAGATACCTTGAAAATCAAGAACATTTTAGTGTAAAGAAGATGAATTTCATTTCAGTGTTAATTAAAAACCCATTAGTTGATAGATCAGCAATTCAGAGTTTTAGCAGTCATATTCTAACACTAATGTTGAACCACAGTCCCACTGTAAGAGTTACTCATGCTTTAAGAGATCAACACAAATGGTTGTGGAAAACAGCCGATCCCATTCTTGTTGGACTTCTTCAGAAGATAGTGACCGTGTTATCTCCTGAAAAAGTGTTAAACTGTTTAGAATGTGTTTTAGAAAGCCAAGAAGTAAACTGGAAATTTTTACTGATGTTTACATCGTTATTTTTAGTTTGTCATCCTAAGGCAGCTACTCTTTTAGAAAATTTCATAGAAAAGTTACTTAAAGTGGCTTTTGAAAAGCTAGAAATGGAAAGCCTTATAAGTTCGGTTCTTCTTGCTCGGCAAGCTGCACTAGAAAGTTTTCAGGTATTTCCTACATATGAAGAATGGTTCCAGAAATATTTTGGTGATAGTGAGACATCTTTAGCTGGAACTCCTCGAACATTTGCCTTTTTAATGAAGTTTTTGGTTGATTTAGCTCCGTATGAACCAGCGAGATATTTAAAGGTGCACATATCAAAGCCACCTCACGTTATTCCAAGGTGTCATCAGGTTTTCAAAGATTATGTTTACTTAGCTAAAACCAGACTTAAAGATTTTCAGGAAACTTCAAACTTTGGGATTTATGAGCAAATCTCAGATGGCCAATCTGATGCACCAACAACAAGCAAAGATCATAAGAAGATAAATCAAGCAGAAACTGATGTAGAGAAAGCTTTACAGCTCTATGAAAACACTAACAAGGTTCCAACCTCTATTTTGGAAGCAAGCATTTTTAGAAAGCCATATTTCATTGGTAGTTTTTTGCCTGAACTACTTAAACCAAGACCACTGCCTGATATACCAGATACCAGAATAAAATTTATTGAAGAACTAAAGCAAATTGGGAAAATTCCACTCGCTTTGTACGAAAATTACAGAAAGAAGTCCCAGAAAGAAACTGAAACGTTGTTAGAAGGTGTGATGGATGTGTCATTCAGTGAAGTAATGCTGGAGCCGCAGGATGATTTGAAACTGACCTTGGAGACGTTAAGGAAAGCTTTGGGAAGAGAACAATCATCAAATTCTCTTGGAGAAGATGATTTTATTGATATCTGCCCATTAATAGCAGAGGCATCTAGTAAACTTCAAGTAATCGTGGATCAATTATCGTCTGCTCAGGACAAAGAGCAGTCTGTGATCTTGGTAGAAGATTTCAAAATGATTTCTTCAGACTTGCTACAGATTGGTTCTATTCTAATAGAAGGATTTGTACATTGTCAACAGACTGCTATCACGTTGTCAAAAGATACCTCTTGGGATGTTCTATACGTTTCAATGCTCAGCTGTTTTCCTGCATTACACCCTCCAGTATTTTCAGACCTTTGGAATAAACTGGTTTCAGAGACTGTGAGTTTAAAAAGCCAGGATATAAGAAGCCTTTCGCTCTTACTTCTAAGACTAGGTCAAATGGGAAGCTCATTTCCAAAGCTTTCTTATAACAGATATTCTGCACCCCAGCTGTTGCCAGATCTGTTGTTTGACTATCTTCCTTTAAACAGCCAAGCTCAGGTTAAGTATTACACAGATTTGACTGGTTCGTATCTAACCTGGGCAATTCACACTTTTGTTTTAACAGAAGACTCCACTAGACTTCCTGATTACATTTCAGAAACTATGTTGAAAAAGTTTCAGTTTTCATCAGTCCGAACACACTTGGAATTACAGGAACTTATTATAGGAAAAGTCAGTGATAAGAACCTAGAACCAGATTCATTAATTACACAGTTATATTGTGCTCCTGTGTTCCAACATTGGTGTCAGGAAGCTGTTGTGAATCTTTCATACTGGATGAAACTGGAAGTACAAGTACAGCAAGATACGGGTTTTGCTGAATCTGATCGTAGGCTTGAATATCTTCGATGTATGATCATTACTCACTTCTTACCTTTAGCTCAAGCTCAGGGTGGTTGTGATGGAAATATTAGACATGCTTGTTCCTCTATCTTAGAAGGTTTAATTTCACTCGCTCCATCCTTATCCTTCTTCTCTCAGTTTATAATAGTTTTACAAGAATTAACTCATTCCCTGTCCATAGATGGGAAAAGTACACAAAATGTTCAACCCTGGTTGCTCGAAGAACTAGAAAGAAATATCCAGAAGCATTCTTCACTTACAGGATCAGAGCTCATTGTTCTCCATAATACTGTTGATAAGTTTTTTCGAATAGTATACGCTCTTCCACCATTTTTACTTCTTACAGACTGTTTATCAATAAAACCATCTTCTGAGGTGTTTCAAAATCTGGCCAGTAAAGTGAGTAATTGTCTTAGGAATTACTTATATGAGGAGTGCTTTTTATCAAACTCTTTAATTGCCCACTTGGTCAAAGCACTTTTTCAAACTTCCAACCAACACAAAGAGCTTGATAGTAGTATTGAAAAATTCTTGTATTTCTGTCCATCATTTACTGCCGGTTTAATTATTCACTGGTCTCGAATTGGACCACTTTTAAGGTCTGTGCAGTTGTACAACAACACGTTTTCTACTTTGGTGCGTGATATCGAATCTGTCGTGTCATGGAGTAATGAGATAACTGATAATTCAGTCTTAGCTCTACCTTCGGGACATTTTGTTATAAAATGGTGGTTTAGCTTGATTATAGCCCAAAAACTTAAACGAGCTGTGATTCCGGTTAGTCTAATTACGAACGTCAATTCAGAAATCTTGAAGAACATTGTACACTTCTTGATGGCATATGATGCAAGTTACAGCATTTCCAATCCTTCCTCCTTCCCTCCTCTTTTAGTTAAACTGCTCAAAATCTGTGTGAAATCTTCAACTGTACCCAAATTTTTCCTTCCTCATTCATACCAATGTTCATTTGTTCAAACTGTTGTGCCTACTTCAGTCTGGAGTCTTTGCCCAGCTGTGTGTTTAAGTGCTGTGCTCCAACTTTGGGATTCACCAGAAATAAGAGAACCAGATTTAGAGAAACACGTTCTGTTAGATTGGTTACTTGTGCTTTTAACCAACCTAACAAAATGCAATCGAGAGTTTATTAATAATGTAACTAAATTACTCGACAAGTAAAGCTAGGAGTAAGAATGATGCAGTAACTCTGTAACGTAGGGGCTCCAGCCATCTTCAGGTACGAGTTTAATAACATCCGGTGGTAGGGACGAAACCAATCTTCTAGTTTTGATGGATGCTTCAAGAAAAAAATTTACGTCCAAAATGTTTAAATACGGTAATGGTTTGTCTTCAGCGAGGAAATCGGAATGCATTTCATACATGTTAAGGGGAAATCAAGGTTATCAAGTACAAGTTAAGGGGAGAGCAAGGTTATCAAGTACAAGTTAAGGGGAGAGCAAGGCTTGAAGTTTTGGACTAATTCCATAAATCATGAACGTTTCGAAAACACCATTTCTATAAAGCATCTTAAATACTTTAAATCAGTTTAATCCACTATTTACAATAATCACTCTCTTTGGGCATTAACCACGTCCAAAAAAACTCTAGAAACACAAACCAACATTATCTATTCATAATATACAGCTATCAGTGAGTTAGAAAAAGTATTTAAAACAGTTCTTTACATTTATCTTATCACGTTAAAGAAACAAAGCTTTATAAGAATGTACTTCGATATTATTTTAATCAGGTTTACTCTAAAATCAAACTGTGAACCTGAATGCCTATATAGCTGTTCAGACAAGGGGAGAGCAAGGTTATCAAGAACATCGTACTTGATAACCTTGCTCTCCCCTTAACTCGTACTTGATAACCTTGCTCTTTATCAAGTAGGTGTTAAGGGGGCCTTGCTCTCCCCTCAACATGTACTTGATAACCATGCTCTCCCCTTAACTCATACTTGATAACCTTGCTCTCCCCTTAACTCGTACTTGATAACCATGCTCTTCCCTTAACACGTACTTGATAACCATGCTCTCCCCTTAACAGGTACTTGATAACCTTGCTCTCCCCATAACACCTACTTGATAACCTTGCTCTCCCATTAACACGTACTTGATAACCATGCTCTCCCCTTAACTCGTACTTGATAACCATGCTCTCCCCTTAACTCATACTTGATAACCTTGCTCTCCCCTTAACATGTACTTGATAGCCATGTTCTCCCCTTAACAGGTACTTGATAACCTTGCTCTCCCCTTAACTCATACTTGATAAAGTGGAGAGAGAGAGGAAAAATCTAAACCTTGAAACTTTTCTCTATTTGCGACTCATCCTTCTAAAAAAATGTATTTTTTGTAGTAATGATTCCTTCTCAGAACCTTATAGGATGTTTACCTTACTCATTTTTATATTATCTAGTATACCTAAATTCCTTTTAGCCTTCCCAGTCAAAATGCAGGCTATTACCATATTTACCTATACAAACTGGTACGTTCTTCACTTCTGTATGAACTTTCAAAGATACTTTAAACCCTTGTAAAAGAAAGAACTTATCCTTAAGGAATTGATCAAAGAAGTTTGAAGGGAAGTAAATATCATCCGTAAACTAATAATTGGAAAAATACCTAATTATCATTACCACCGACTAATTAATTCTATCCACATTTTAACCCCTTTCTTTCGTTCTGTTAAGTTTGAACATATCAATAATCTTTCTATGTTATTTGAGACTTTCTCGAGTAACAGATACATGTTTGTGAAGCAAGAATGCTTTATAAATGTATGCTGAAAAACAATTTTTTTAGATAATGGATTCTACAATTACCTGAACAAAAGGAAGAGAACCAGTTTCATTTATTACTTTTATAATAATTTTTGTTTAGTAATTAAATGGGTTTTAATAAATCCTTAAATTGGAAAGACATATTTTAAGTTAATAACATTTTAATGTTTATTTAGGCCAGTTTTATGAGGTTAAAGTAGTCCTGTGTCTTATTCCACCCCCCCACAGACAGTTATGTGGTAATTCTATCTGTTTGCATTTCCTTGGCCCAGTACCTTCTGCACATGAGCGATCCATCAACTGAGCTAAATGGTTAATTCAATAATAAGGCACACTTTAACAAATTAAACTACCACATCCATTCCTTATAAACAGCTTCTCTTAAGCATTTGGGACAACCTTACATTTTATTCGTTTTTCTGTGTTAATTCAATTTGTATTTATTGTTTATGGTTCAATGTCAAACTCAACACCCCTCACACGATATAAATGTTCTACCTGCTGAGCCAAAGGAGTGTCTTCATTAATAAAAAGTTCAACAAAAAGGAAGAATAGGTTAGTGAGGCAAGAATGCTTTGTAAAGCAATGTTGAAAAATTTTAGTTAAATTCAAACTTTTCAGATAAAAGATTCTATAATGGAATCCCAAGGGTTTTGTACTCTGCCAAAGGCTTGGAAGCCAAAATTTTGTGGATAATATATTGTTTATGTTTTCATTAATTAATGACACATAAAATAAGACCAAATCTTTGTTGTTTTCTTAATTTCATAAATTAAAAATCCTCAAAATATATAGACATCTTTATCACTGTACATTGAGTTTGGCAACCAACCATGTGGATCAGACAGAGACAAGGCTTAGTAAAGTTATTTTGGCAACCAGCCATGTGGATCAGACAGAGACAAGGCTTAGTAAAGGTATTTTGGCAACCAGCCATGCCAATCGGAAACAAAGCTTTAGTAAAGTTATTTTGAGAATACTGTTTACCTTTCAAGTGATTTCTTTCCAGCATAGATTCTTAGTCTTTAAAATGCATAAAATAGCTTAGGATTAAAAAATTTAAGCCCCAACCAGTGACTCTGTAGTAAATGTGAAGGCTTATACCACTAAAATTTAGGATTTGATCCCTGCAGTTGGCACAGCACGGATATTTCTTTGTACGTAACAACTAGATACTGATTTCAAGGTAAGCCTTACAGGTGCATTAGTATCATTGAGATTAATTAGAACTGTGAGATAATATCACATACTGGAAAAACAGATGGTACTACCAATATTACTGCAGTTATAAACCCTTCATGGTGTTTAAAAGCTGGATGTTAAAAAAAAACTTTCAAGACACAGGGTTCTACTAGGTTGAATGTTGCAGATTTGTAGGAAAGTAACGTGGAACCTGCGATCTGTGTTTAGAAATGAATCCAGGAAACAGCAGCATGGGTAATTAACTGTTAAATTTCTTGGTTCATGCATACAGCAAGATGGTAAAAGTAAACAGTTATCAGAGATGAGTTTTTCTATAAAATGGTAAGAAGATCGAAACCAGGAGCTAAATCAGAGACATGAAAATGGTCTGTTAGTTCTCATTAAAATAGGAGTACCCGTTCAACTTTTTTCTATCAAAATTTTAAAAGTACCCGTCTTTCAGTTCTGGGTATAGCTATGTTACTATTAAACCATTCATTTTGGGGTGAATAAGTCATTAATACTGTAATTTATCAACTCAGTCCAGAGATTTGGTGCTCCAAGGATGAAGAAAAACCAGTAGACTCACCAAAATATCATAAGTGAATAGAAGTGCTGGCCAAGTACCAGAGACGGACAAGTCTCGAGACCAAAGATTACTGAAATCTTGGGATCACAGATCACTCATTATTTTAACTATTTATAGCTAGAGTTGTATCTTGGTTCATATAATAATGTATGTTATACTTCGGGTAATTAATATTAACTTACGATTAGGATAAGCTACCTACTCAAAGGGAAACTGGATCGTTTCATCAGTTGATGTTAACAATATTTTTGTTAAAGCTAGAATATAGTTCTTCGAGTAGCACAATGCACCTGGTATTAAACGTAATAGAGGAGACAATTGGTGTCATTTGATATATTAGATCCATGAGTACTGTTAGTACCAGGACAGATGAGAGAGGCATATTAGATCCATGAGTACTGTTAGTACCAGGACAGATGAGAGAGGCATATTAGATCCATGAGTACTGTTAGTACCAGGACAGATGAGAGAGGACATTTGCAGCTATATCATCAGGCACTAGTTGAAGTCTTGAGATGCACTATGACCTGAGAGTTCCAAATATGGGAAAAATAACCCACAAAGTGTTGAATTACTAGTTCTTTTGTATGATTGGAAATGGCCAATCAGTGACAAGGTATATAGGGTCACTTGATATTGGTTTCTTCTATATAAAATTAATTAAATTTTTGCCTCTCAGTTCCTTTAAATTCAGATCTCGGAATAATTCAAGACTTTATCATCAACAAAGAAAAACTAATCCAAGTATACCAGGATGAGACCAGTGCAAGCATGTTTAAAGTGCCAGCAACCGAGTCTGCCAAGTCAATAAATCATCAACTTTCCAAACTGCTGCTGCACCACGTGGCCGTTTTATGAAATATCCTGTCTGTTAGCGTAACCTTTGCACTATGGCTTGGTGTTTAACTCAACCACCAAGTGTCATGTAAAATAATCAAAATTATATTGGTTTGTTACATTCGACTATCTGTTGTGTCCACAACAGGGAATCAAACCCTAGATTTTAGCATTATAAGTCCTAAACTTAAAGCTGTCCCACTGGGGGACTCGAAATTGTGTTTACATTGATTAATGTTTCTGATTATTCTAACTATCCAAAAATATTTTCATTAAGATTTCTCATAGTTATTGTCCATTAATTCAACCTAATTTATTAGTGTCATGACTCATGAAAATAATCAAAACTACTACTTCTAATTATAAAGTTACAGTTCATCAACTAACATTACTGTTTTGAGATCTGTGTTACTTCTTAATATTAGTTACCGAAAGGAAGTAATCGGTGTTATAATTATTTTGACAGCTAACCATTAAGTAAACACTCCAGAAAGATTGCCATTTTATTAAATAAACAAACAGATACAAGATTATCATAACATAAATTATTACTAGAAAATACATTTACAAAGTAACTCACATATCCAACCCTTTTAAGAAGACCAACAAAATAAAAGGTTTTATGTAAAGCTATTCTTAACCTTTACAAAAAAAACAGTAACTTAAACAGTTTCTTTAGCAGTGTTGTAAACCTTTAAACAACAAGGTTGGAAATACAAAAAAAAGATAATTGTTCCTTCAGTTGAGTATCTGTACATCCTCAGTCTGTGTTACCATGGTTTCTTACGCTTTAAAAAACCAGTTGTACACCACTCTCTGGCTTAAGAAACACTATGCGTTATATTACTTGAAGTCATTGCTATATACACATGACTCTCATTTTTCTCTATAAGAAGTAAACCCAAAATATTTTCCAGTTTTATTTGATATGTTTTTAGAAATCCATATCTACACTCACGTATCTCAACCAGCAGAAAAACACCTTCGGTTGATTCTATTTTCGAAGTAATTTGCATTCTTACAAAACCATTCACTATCACATCATACAGACGAAGGCTATTTCATAATTAACCGTATTTTCACTATTAACTGAACCCACTTTCATCTGTTCCGTATAACGTTCACACTAAAGCTATGTTAAAGCACTGTTGAAACATGTCCATAGTGGGAGATTAAAGGTCCAGGTTCCTCCCCATCCGGAGGGTGTGTGTGACTACTTGCGGGACGAAGAATTTCTTCAACACTACGACAGTGAGGTCTTGGTCCAGGCTCAGGTGTGTAGGTAAAGGTCAGGCCTGTTGCGTAAATGATTCCATCATTTCTCACTAGCGAGACTGGAACCTGTATAGTTATTAGTTATGGATTAGTTGTATACATTTTCATAAAACAATATTTACTTAAAGAAATTCTAATCAAGTGATTTAAGTAGGTAATACCAATGTTGTTGATTAATAAAAATATTTAGGAGCAGAAAAGTTATAATTAGATGTATATTTAAACAGATTTACTTATCCTATTTTCATTAACAGGGAATACAATTCAGCAGAATATCTTTGTGTAGTGGTCTAAAATGTGTGATAAAAGTTAACAGAACATCTCTGTGTAGTGGTCTAAAATGTATGATAAAATTAACAAAACATCTCTGTGTAGTGGTCTAAAATGTGTGATAAAATTAACAGAACATCTCTGTGTAGTGGTCTAAAATGTGTGATAAAAGTTAACAGAACATCTCTGTGTAGTGGTCTACAATGTGTGATAAAAGTTAACAGAACATCTCTGTGTAGTGATCTACAACGTGTGATAAAAGTTAACAGACAATCTCTGTGTTGTGTTTTACAATGTGTGATAAAAGTTAACAGAACATCTCTGTAATGATGTACAATGTGTGATAAAAGTTTACAGAACATCTCTGCGTAGTGGTTTACAATGTGTGATAAAAGTTAACAGAACATCTGTGTAATGATGTACAACGTGTGATAAAAGTTAACAGAACATCTCTGCGTAGTGGTTTACAATGTGTGATAAAAGTTAACAGACAATCTCTGTGTAGTGATGTACAACGTGTGATAAAAGTTAACAGACAATCTCTGTGCAGTGGTCAACAATGTGTGATAAAAGTTAACAGAACATCTCTGTGTAGTGATCTACAATGTGTGATAAAAGTTAACAGATCATCTCTCTATATGGTTTCAATGTTCTCTAGCAGCTCTGATACTATAACTAGTATTCACACCTGAGTAGGGTGGTGGACCCACTGCCAACCCTCACGGAATGCCGAGATATCAGGAACCACACACAGCATACTTTCCTGACACCTACAAAAATAATCACAAACTTTTATAAAAAAGAACTTACTTTAACCATGAAGAATGTTTTTGTAAATATTTCTTCATGTTATTCTATTTAAAATCCATATCACTCAAGAGAAACAAACTGAACTGATAATTTTTCTGTTAACAGATATCTAATGTTAATTTCATGCGTAAGAATTATACCTGTACATTGTTTCAGCTTCCACATCACCAAACCAAACTTTTAATACAGGAGTAAAGTTCTCCCCGGTCAACTCCAACATTGCAACATCTCCTCCTCCATTTAGCTGTCAGAAAAAAAAAAACACACTGATGTATTTTACTAAACAGCCACAAAACCAGAGCAGTATAAAACATGATTCAAGATAGATATAAGAGAACACACACAACTAATATTTAACAAGGATACATTTTTAGTACTTTTTCTCATAAAACTGACTTTAATTTTTGGAAATAACAATTGACGGAGGTAATATTATAAAGTAAGATGTGACAGTTATAAACACCATTACACAATGTGTACTTTACTAGTCTGATTTTAACCTTTAAGTAGTTATGTGACAGTTTTAAACACCATTACACAATGTGTACTTTACTAGTCTGATTTTAACCTTTAAGTAGTTATGTGACAGTTTTAAACACCATTACACAATGTGTATTTTACTAGTCTGATTTCATCCTTTAGTCTATAATGTGTTCAAGATGACTTACTTTGGTGCTTACAGAATTTCACAAAATTATCTGGACTTGTTTCTCTAATATATTTGTAATGTGTTTCAAGACTTTTGGAAATTTATTAATTTTTCTTGCAGTTCATCTGGCAACAGCAAGTATATGAACACACCAACTTTTGAAACCCTACAGATATATATATATAAGGTTGAAATGTAGCCATTCAATCACTCTGAGCTAAGTAGTGTTTGTGTTAACTCTGATACAGGGTGTGTAAAGTTCACCATACAGGTCACTACACAAATGACAGATTCTGCTTTAACACTAGTTGATATACATTTTGAACAGACACGTGTTAAAAAACAGCATAGTCCTTACAAGAATGAAACATCCTTAAGAGTTTAACAGACTAGTTTTCCCAAGATTAATGTCCAGAATGTGCTTTTAACTGACCTGTTTTTATACCCTTCACTATTGATGGAGTACACACATTCCATCATACTGAGTAATTTTATGTTATAACACTCAAGTGTAAAGAAAAACTCTAAGTTTCTAGGTAAACTACACAGGGGATCTCAGCAGCCTGGCTTTACCACAGACAAATTATCTAAACATGACCTCAACACATCACAATACATATAGCATAACAATAATGTTATCCATAACAAATCAGCAGCCTGACTTTACCACAGACAAATTATCTAAACATGACCTCAACACATCACAATACATACAGCATAACAATAATGTTATCTATAACAAATCAGCAGCCTGGCTTTACCACAGACAAATTATCTAAACATGACCTCAACACATCACAATACATATAGCATAACAATAATGTTATCTATAACAAATCAGCAGCCTGACTTTACCACAGACAAATTATCTAAAGATGATCACAATACATCACAATATATATAGCATAACAATAATGTTATCTATAACAAATCAGCAGCCTGACTTTACCACAGACAAATTATCTAAACATGACCTCAACACATCACAATGCATACAACAATAAATATGTAAGTTTTGTGTAGATTGATACTTCAGGAAAAATAGGCTTAGTTCTCCATATCACCTTTCAAACTTGTGTACAAAACCTGTACAAATTATCACAATGCATATTACAGAAAGATTCAAACGATATGACACTGTAGTTGCATTTTTTATTTAATTGTTTTTTTACGTGACTGTTCAAGAAAATGTGAAATATAAAGGAGGTATTTTCATCACTCCAAACAATCAGTTTCTAACAATTAACAGACCAGAAAATGTGAAATATAAGGGTGGTATTTTCCTCACTCCAAACAATCAGTTTCTAACAATTAACAGACCAGAAAATGTGAAATATAAGGGAGGTATTTTCATGACTCCAAACAATCAGTTTCTAACAATTAACAGACCAGAAAATGTGAAATATAAGGGTGGTATTTTCCTCACTCCAAACAATCAGTTTCTAACAATTAACAGACCAGAAAATGTGAAACATGACATAAAATCTTATGAATAATGAGAAGTTGAAGAAAAATACTTATCGAAGCTTAATTTCATCCAATTATAAATAGTCTCTAATAGCCAGAGTGTAAAAGCTAGTGATTTTCAAACACTATGAAAGAAGAACTGACTTACGTGTAAACTGAACACAACTGGTACTGGAGTGACTGGTGATCGAATAGGTCCCATACCTTCATAAAATGTGTACTCTGCCTTGTCTGTACTGATGATGGTCCACGAGGCACCATCGTTAATCATTTCCTTGTTAGGTTCTTTTGGACATGGTGTTGCCTGGAATACCAAGATGACAATCACTATCACTAGAAAACATTTCTATAGTAAACTGAACTACCTTACACAGTAGTTGAATTGTATAGACAGATGGAACTAGCAAGTAAAGAAAAACAATAATAAAAAACAGATTATTTGGAAGGAGAATAATCTATTTCTCCCAACGAAATATAAGACACACATACCTGAAACTGTACGATTCTCTCCTATCAGACATCATAAAGACACACGTTCCTGAAACTGTACGATTCTCTCCTGTGAGACACATTAAAAACACACACCTGAAACTGTATGATGCTCTCCTATCAGACATCATAAAGACACACATACCTGAAACTGTACGATTCTCTCCTATCAGACATCATAAAGACACACATACCTGAAACTGTACGATTCTCTCCTATCAGACATCATAAAGACACACATACCTGAAACTGTACGATTCTCTCCTGTCAGACATCATAAAGACACACATACCTGAAACTGTATGATTCTCTCCTGTGAGAGGCATAAATACATTCTTTCTGTGTCCTTCATGTAGAAGGAACACTTGTGAAGCTGTGATACAGGGTCACTTGCTTCTAAAAGTGCTGTTTGTTTGTCCACTTTGCGTATCACCTAAAAAGTAAACAAATCACATCTCAAACATCAAGTTAAATAAAAATTTAAAGACATTCACCTGTGATACCATAAGTAACAGTAACTTATAAACGTAATATGGCTATAGTTAACTACAACACATCCAGCTGCGACACCATAAGTAACAGTAACTTATAAACGTAATATGGCTAAAGTTAACTACAACACATTCACCTCTTTCCCCACTACATTGAACAAGCTAAACCACTCAATATTTGTACCATAACCTAGACCAACCACATCCACTTCTCGGGCAAATTCTGTCTAACCATAAATAGAGAGCACTTTAAAAACTACTGACTAAACACTGTTATTACACCATCACATATTGGGTATTTTGGAAGTAATTACACACTGACGTGAGGATACTTCAGATATACTAAATTATTCACTGACACGAGGATACTTATACACCTACATGAGGATGCTCCATTACAGATACTGAACTACATGCTGACATGAAGATACTTCATTAGAAAAAGACAATGAATTACACACTACCAAGTCTGTTTTTAATGCTTATTTTACAACCTACCAGTCGAGGAAGAGCCATTCCTGTGACAGAACAAACCAACTTGACAGTCGAACCATAGTGAATGTAGCCATCTCTTACCGTGAACTCTTCGGATTCAGATTCACTATCATCCACTGCAAAGATAATATAATGTTCAAACTACAACAAGCGTGTACTTATCGCGTTCAACTACAACAAGTGTGTACTTATCGCGTTCAACTACAACAAGCGTGTACTTATCGCGTTCAACTACAACAAGTGTGTACTTATCGCGTTCAACTACAACAAGCGTGTACTTATCCCGTTCAACTACAACAAGTCCGTACTTATCCCGTTCAACTACAACAAGTCCGTACTTATCCCGTTCAACTACAACAAGT